CACATTTGGGGATGTGGGAAGACACCGGAGTCCCTGGAGAAAATCCACGCAGACATAGAGAGAACGTGCAAACCACATAGAGTGGCCCTGTCCAGGAATCGATTTTTCTCATCAATTTTAACAAAACAAGATTGAATGAAACATTATTAGAGAACCTAGTATACGTATAGCATGATTCATATTATAAAACACACAAGAACACATGCATATAAACAGAAAAAGTTCTTTAAGATTCAGAGCAAATAAATCATCTTGCCTGGGAGAAGGGTATTTTTATTTGTTTCGTTACATACTACTGCCCTTTTAACCTTATGAGAAGCATATGTGACTTTTGTAACAGAAAAAATAACACAATCTCACTCTATAACACTTGGATTAAAAAAAATCTAAGGAAACATAAAAAACTTTATGAAATTTCACTACACAGAGGCAATTATTATTAACATGTCAACACTTTCTTTTAAGTCCCTGTTATGCATTTTTTTACAGATATGATTCTTATTCTATGTAATTTGGGCCTTGTTTTTCCAGAAAATTTAGAGAATAAAAAGCCACAAGAGAATAAAAAGTACATGTATTCCCAACCCCCAGAGATAATTGCTTAAGAAATATCATAAAATTCAATTGCATAAAACTGGATTATAAATAATTCATGTACGCTATCATAGATCATGCACATTGTCTCAGTGATCCATGCATGGCCCTCTTTTATTTTTTATGCATTAACTTGTCCTTTATTTAATTTTCATTATAATCATATAATTATTAAAGTCAATAGTATGCTTTTAATTACATAATGAACACTCACCCACTCACCCATTGAACCTGAGCACTAGAATACTGACAATAACTTCAATCCACTTCTATGATCCTCTCCTACTGTGGCCCCATTTCCTTAACTCCAAAGACCACTATCCTAACTTTTTATTGATATTCCTTGGCTTTTTAAATAATATATTTTAATCCAAAATATATATGTATGCCTAAATAATATACAGCACATCCCAAAAAGTGTATACACACTGTAACAGCTGATAGCTCGATTTTGAAAATGAAATGCATTTTAATAAAAACTGCCTTTATAATTATTCAAAGTATGTGTATACATTTTTTGGGACACCCTATAGTTATTAGTTTACTTGTTTTTAAATAAGATATAAAGGATATCTAGTTATACATAGTCTTCTGGTACTTGATCTTTTAATTTAACATTACAAAAGTAAAACCCATCCATATTATTGTTGCTTAGGTGTAGTATAATATTCCGTTGTGTAAATATACTATAATCTGTACATTTTCCTTTTGGGATATTTACTGTGAACATTATAATGTATATTCTTCTGGTTATTTTTCTGAGGACATTTATATAGTTTTCTTGCTACAATATTTTTTTGTTTGTTCTGTGTTTTTTTGTTAATCCTCACCCGAGGATTTTTTATTTATTTATTTTTTAGAGAGAGTGGGAGGGGGAGACACAGAGAGAGAAACATCAATGTGAGAGACATTGATTGGTTGTTTCCCACATGTGCCCCGACTGGGGCTGGGGCTGGGGACCCAGCCTCCATCTGCGGTACCTGCCTTTGACTGAATTGAAACCAAGACCCTGCAGTTCACAGGCCAGCGCTCTTACCACTGAGCCAAAACGGTGAGGGCTTTCTAAGAAAATTTAATAACATATGTTTGTGTGTGTGTGTGTGTGTGTGTGTCAGCCATGGTCATGGTGGAGACTTTTTTTAATCCTCTTGTATAGAAAATAAGTGGATATATATATTTACATTCATGTGACCTGTTCCTCTCACTAATGAGATCTTGTGAACACATTCCCATTTCAGGAAATATTCTTCTGTGGTATAAACTTAAATGGCTGTATAGTATTCCATCATATATTTATAATATCATTTTATTTATCCACCCCAATTGTTGGACATCTCGATTACTTATAAATTTTATGCTATGATAAGCTTTATGTTGTACATATACTTTAGATCAGCAACTCTGCTTTTAAGAATTTATTTTAAGTAATATCTGAATAAATTTGCACACAATAAAGTACAGAGCCACCATCTAAGATGAGGCAGTTTGTGCTCTGCAGAACTTGCACAACATATGTCCTCATCACAGCAGTTTTTATAATAAAAAAGGAAAAAACTTAAGTAAATAAGTAATATATTAAAATTATAATATAGATGCACAGTTACTGACATAGAAAGATGTGTACAATTTATTAAGTGGAAAAATTAGGTTAAAAGAATACCATTTTGTAAAATAAAGCAAACATACCTGTGAAATAGTATGGAAGAACATACACCAAAAATTTTATAACATTATCTCTGAATATTGAGTTTATTTTAGATTTTAAGTTTTTTACTGTGCTTACTTATACTCTAAAGTATTTTAAACAGTAAAACTTGATTATATGTGCAATGAAAAGGTGAAGAAATAATGGTTTTATGAACATTTAATTTTTTTTTCAGAAATTTAAAGCACTTTCACATTGTAAGAAGTTTGGAAGAAAAAAGAACATAAAAAGGTAAATGAAAATTACACATTATCCTATCCACCTAGTGATAATTAGGTCACAATCTATAATGGGTTTATTGCTAGTCATTTGTCTGATTATACATCCTATATAATAAAATGCTAATATGCAAATCGACTGAATGGCAGAACAACTGGTCACTAAGATGTGCACTGACCAGCAAGAGGCAGATGCTCAACATAGGAGCTGCCCCTGGTGGTCAGTGAGCTCCCACAGGGGGAACGTTGCTCAATAAGAAGCCGAGATCACAGCTGGTGAGCACAACAGCACTAAGGGGAGCAGGCCTAAGCCAGCAGTCGGACATCCCCCAAGGGTTCTCAGACTGCAAAAGGGCACAGGCCAGGTTAAGGGACCCCTCCCCCCACCGTAAGTGCAAGAATTTCATGCTCCGGGCCTCTATTTTAAAATAATTGCAATCATACTGTATACAATTCTACATGCTGATTTTAACTTAATTCTATATAATTAAAGTCTAATATGCTACCGGTCATTTGGTAGGCCATTCAACCAATCAAAGTGTAATATGCTAAGGCTGCTCAACCACTCGCTGTAATGTGCACTGACCATCAGGGCACAGGCAGTCGACCGGTCGACCAGTCGCTATGATGTGCTCTGACCACCAGGGGATAGACAGTCAACCTGTCAACCAGTCGGTATGACGTGCACTGACCACCAGGGAGCAGTAGACCGGTTGACCAGTCACTATTATGTGCAATGACCACCAGGGGACAGATGCTCCAACCGGTAGGTTAGCTTGCTGCTGGGGTCTGGCCTATTGGGACTGAAGGAGACAAGCCAGACATGCCCTGGAGCCCTCCTGTGGTCCCTCCCCAGCTGGCCAATCTCCTGCACCCCTCTCTGGCCCCGATCTTGCACTGGTGGGGTCCCTCAGCCTGGCCTGCACCCTCTCCCAATTCGGGACCCCTTGGGTGATGTTGGAGAGCCAGTTTTGGCCCAATCCCGCAGGCCAGGCCGAGGGACCCCACTGGTGCACAAATTCATGCACTGGGCCTCTAGTATAATGTAACTTAAATAGACCATAACTTTTTAATGGAGTAATATTCCATCATATGGAAATAGCACATTTACTTAATTATGCCCTTAAAATTAGACCTGTAGGTTTTTCTGTTTTTAACTGTACCAGATAACTATGTGAGGAACATCTTTGTGAATGAGCTATCCACATTTCAGATATTTTCCTTGAGTAAATTCATTGAAGTGAAAATACTAAGTCAAAGAGTACAAAACATTTTTATATCTCTTGATATATATTGTCAAAACTGTACTTATTATATATTTAAGGTAGCATGGAATAATGGGGAGGGGGGAGTCAAAATACATGGACTCCATGCCCATATTTAGTACTTGCTTCTTAACCTCTGATTAGATTAAAGCTGATGTAAAAACACACATCTTATCTAAGTCACAAGGTTATTGTGATAATCAAATGAGAATATAGATCCTTTGGTCACCATAAATGCTACTTCCTCAGGAATGTTTTTGTTAACTTTCCAGACTTTCACAGCGTCCTATATTACTTTTCCTTTATGACCTTATGAAACTTACAAAAATTTGTTTGAATATTTGAACATTGTCTGTTTCCCCCAGATGACTTTGTTTCATCAAAATATGCCTAGTACACAGTTGGTACTAAATAAATATTTGTTGAACAAATTGATGAATGCATGAATGAGCAAATGAAGTGACAACACTTTGTAAACTAAATCATTAGACATTTTTAAGGTATTATTATTTTTATTATTAATTTGTATTACCGTGTAGATAATTCTCAATCTTTAGAGATTTCTTGCCTAATCAAAATTCCATTATGTGGCTTTAATGCTTGTAATGCCAACCAGAGGTATGGGTAGCTCCTTATAGGAGCTGAGGCTTGGAAAACCAAGTAGTTAGTTCTCTAGATCAGCATGCTGGGAGTTAAGGAGTTGTAGTCACCATTAGTCAGTCACAAGGCAGTGATAGGAATCCAAGAGGTCAGTGATATTTGAAGCAGGTGGATCCTGGAGGTCAGAAACAAAGTAATGGTAAATGGTCGAGATAGTAAGATGACAAACTGGAGAATGGTCAGAGATAAGGAATTAAGGTAGATGAGAGAGTTAAATCCCATGCATCAGTACTCAAAGCATGGAGTTATGAATATGATTCTAAATTAAAGGGTACTTGAACTCAGTGCTCTCATAGTATTTCTACCCAAATTGAAAATGGTATGAAGAAGTGTTTGTGCCTAGTCCCCATATACATGAGCAAGGGATTGATAGTAGCTGGTTAAAGAATAAGATCTATGAATACAAACATAGGTTCTGATAGTGACAAGATACAGTAAGACCATTTGTATATAAGGTTTTATAATAGTCTCCATATAAAATGAGAACAATCAAGTTTTGAATCTCATAATTCTCATCTTGATTTTCAACAGCAGATTCATACTATGGTGGTTAGAATCATGGACTTGAAAGTAGGCTAGTTGGGTTCAAATTCTAGCTCAATAATTTATTAGTTGTGTCCTTTGGACAAGTTACTTCACCTTAGTGTGCCAGTTTCCTCATCTGTAAAACAGGGATGATAGTACCTACCTACCCTCAATGGGTTCTTGGGAAAATTAAGTAAGTTGATGTATATAAAGACCTTAGAACAGTGCCTGGATATAGTAAATCTTACATCGAGTGTTATTATTATTATTAGTCACATAAGGCCAAACAAAAATTGATGTTATAAAAATGGATAAATACACTGTATGTTTTCCACTGTATGTTAACTTTAGCTAAACTAATAAACAGTATCTCAATAATATTTTTCATTAAAATAAGAACTGTACTTGCACCTAAACATAGTTGACTATATAAAAATTATAAGCATTAGTAAAGTAGCAAAATTTATCACAGCAATCCCATATGTGTGTTTATTCTATAGAAGGTGTTTTATGAACATATTTAAAAGTTGTAAAGAATAAATACACATTTCCTAATAGCAAAAACCACTATTTTCTGAAGCTAGTTCTACTAGAAGCAGGAATATTTGAGTTGGAAGACTTGTCTGTGGAAAGATCTGAACATAGACTTGGGAAGACTAATTTAGAAAAGTCTGGACCTGGGGAAAGGTTAGAAGACCTGAACTATGGAACATGTTAGAATACCTGGATATCGTAGACACAGGAAGACCTGAATGTTAGAAGACCGGTACACTGGAGACGGAAGACGTGGATTTTGAGCCCATTGTTGGAAAACTGGGTAGTTTTCGGAAGACGTGGAGACGTTGGAAGACATGGAGTTGCTGGCAGATGTGGAGATGCTGGCAGACGTGGAGATGCTGGCAGATGTGGAGATGCTGGCAGATGTGGAGATGCTGGAAGATGTGGAGATTCTGGAAGACATGGAGATGCTGGAAGACGAGCAGATGCTGGAAGCCCTGGAGATGCTGGAAGACCTGGAGGTGTAGGAAGACATGAATTTTCTGGAAGACGTGGATTTTCTGGAAGACGTCACTTTGTTGGAAGACGTGGGTATGCTGGAAGCTATAAATTTGATGGAAGATACAGCTTTGTTGGAAGACCAGGGTTTGCTGGAAGCTGTGGATTTTCTGGAAGCCATGGATTTGATAGAAGACGTGGATAGCCCGGAAGACCTGGAACTGATTGGAAGATAGTGATTTCCTGGAAGCCATGACTTTTCTGGAAGACATGGATTTTCAGGAAGACCCGAATTGTCCGGAAGATCTTGGCTGTTTGGAAGATGTAGATTTGCTGGAAGACCTGGAGGTTACTGGAAGACATAGCTCTCAAGGAAGACATACATTTGCAGAAGACCAAGATTAAGTGGAAGACATGAATTTTCTGGAAGACTTTGATTTGGTGGAAGTCATAGATTGGTTGGAAGACCTAGATTTTTCTGGAAGATGTGGATTGTGTGGAAGACCTTGAAATCATTGGAAGACACTGATTTTTCTGGAAGACGTGGATTTTCCTGGGAGATATGAATTTTGTGGAAGACCTATAATTGCTGGAAGACTGGATTTACTGGAAGGTGTGGATTGTCTGGAAGACGTGGTTTGTTTGGAAGACGTGGATTGTCTGGAAGACGTGGATTCTCTGGAAGACTGGGATTAGCTGGAAGACCTTGATGTTGTTGGAAGACTTGGAGTTACTGGAAGACCTGGAGTTGTTGGAAGACCTTGACACTGGCGCCATTGGAAACCCTGGACATTGGAGACATTGGAAGCACAGGATGTTGGAGACATTGGAAGCCTTGGATTTTGAGGATATTTAGTTATTCTGGATATTGGAGACTTTGGAGGCCCTGAAGTTGGAATTCATGGATATTAGAAGCCCTGAGCACTAGAGACATTGCAAGTCTTGGACTTGGAGTGTCCTAAACATTGGAAGGTATTGGCAATAGAAGATTTAGACATTTAGCAATTCTAAAATCAGGAACCCTGGATATTGGGAGATATTGGAAAATCTGAATATTGGCATATTCAAGTTAAAAGACATAGAATTTGAAAGATGTAATTTTAATGATGCTGTAAGTCAAAGATATTGAAAGCCCTGGATATTAAGAGACCTAGATTTTAAGAGATCAGGATGTTAAGAGACATAGTCACTTAGATATTGGGGATATTTTAACACCTGAATGATTAAGGAGCAGGTTCTAGAAGATATTGAAAAACTTGGGCATTGGATAATCTGCTAATTTTATAAGACATTATAAAATCAGAATTTAGGAGACATTAGAAGTTGTAGGAACTAAATAATGTAAGTGCTGCACTTGGATACAGTGAAATATATGAGCTCTAGAAGACTGGTATATAGGAGGTAATAGATAACTGGAAATACAGTAAAACTGGAAGTTATAATTCTGGACTCTAAAAGATAAGACCTATAACTTAAAGGCTTATTGTTGGAGATTTTAGAGGACCTAGATTTTTAATGATCCTAATATTGGGAAGATTAGAAAACACTGGCATTGGAGATGTTGCAGGTGAAAGAGTGAAAAGATATGGATGTGGTAACATTTAGAATATCTGGCAACTGGAGATGTTGGAAGCTCTGGAGTTCAGAGACCTGATGTTAGAGACACTGAAGAATTGAAAAATCTAATCATAGATATATTGTAAGGTCATGTTGATATTGTCAATGTTGAAAGACTTTCGTATTAGAATCTGATATTACTTTTAAAAACATGTCATAAGGCTATTGTAATAAACGTTATGATTATGTCATTTCTTTCACTATGAACCACAGGGAAAGGCCATTCTAGAAAGGTGACAAAGAAGAAACAGGGAAATTCAAGTTAAAACACATAGTTTGGCCCAGCAAGTGTGGCTCAGTAGTTGAGCTTTGGCCTATGAACCAGGAGGTCACGGTTTGATTCCTGGTCAAGGAATATATCTGGGTTGCAGGCTTGGTCCCCAATGTGGGGTGTGCAGGATGCAGCCAATTAATGATTCTTTCTCGTCACTGCCATTTCTATCTCTCTCCCTCTCCCTTTCTCTCTGAAATCAATAAGAATATATTTTTTAAAAACATAGTTTAAATGGACTGGAACCTATCTTAGTCTCTATTGACTGGCCTTCTGGGTATTTACTGATTGACAAGATGGAAATAAAGAATTATCAAAGAATAAGCAATATCAAGACTAGGGAAACTACTTGGTTTTAGATAAGGGGTCAGAAAACATTCCCTATAAAGGATCAGATAGTAAATATTTAAGGTTTTGCAAGCCGTATGGTTTGTGTTGGAACTACTCAACTCTGACATTGTCATACAACTATAGACAATACATAAATGAGGGGACATGGCTTTATTTTTGAACAAACGGGTGGGGGCTAGATTTGGCCCAGAATCTTTTGTTTGCCAGGCCCAGCTCTAGATGCCAAATCTAGGGTATGGTAAACTTAAGTATATTCCAGGCTAGCAATCACATGCAAGAGAATGGATAGAACAATTTGAAGCCCAATGGTAAATAAATATACTATGTATGTGATGAGACTCAGGATATGAGTCTGGCAAGAACCTAAGAATGGAGTTTAGATTTCCACTTAATTTTTTCAGGAGTCCTAACACGGTGATTTATATACACAGCCAAAATTAAGTGGGTAGTATTCAGAGCCCCAGACAAAAGGGCTAGGGTTCAATGAGGATGACCTAATTTAGTAGGCTGAAAGCTTAAGAAGAAAATTAAAGAAACTCACCCCTACAGATTGAGGTCATCTTGCCAGGACTAAGCGTCACTCTCCCAAAGAGAGAGAATAGCTAGCCCAGGGCAGACAAGAAGTTAGTGGCAAACCCCTCTCTCTAAGTTCCATGTTCTTACCAGATGGCACTCATCATATTACTACCAATTAATCAAGAGTTAATGCTAAGTATTTTCAATGATGGAGGAGAACAAGAAGGAGACTACACCTTGGTAGGCATATCTCACGTACTCCAGCTTATCCCCCAGAGCTTAAGTGATAAACTTAAGAGATCAGGGTTGGCCTGTAGGAAGAAGATCCTTAGTCCTTAGCCAGATAGGGCTGAGGCATACAGGAACTATCATATATACTGCATGAAAGAGAACATTGGCATACAAAACTGACTAAGGTACACTGGGACTTGGCAATGATTTAAAGGTTCAGTAGTGGAATATACAGGGGGGGGTGAAAAGTAGGTTTACAATTGTTAGTACATGAGACACAGAGTTTATTCTTGTGTTATTATTTAATTAACCTGCATTTTTTTCCCATATGAACAACTGTAAACCTACTTTTCCCACCCCTATACAGACAATGGGCAGCGACTAAAGATTTTTTAACAAGTAACAGAATCAGAATTGTGCAGAAGGGAAGTTAGTATATCAGCAAGTTGCTAAATATCAAAGATTATTAGATATATATGCTAGAACAGCAAAAAATTCAAGTAAGAACACTTAAAGAATTGGGATGTGCATTATGAGGGCACTACAATCAACTAAGTGATAGTGGGGGATTGGATTAAGGCAGTGACAGTTCTGTGGCTTAGCAGACATAGCATTAGAATAATAACTGCTCCTCATTCTGAATACCACTATTTTAAGCTTCTTGAATGCCACCACAGAATACATGAAATACAAAGAAGTTCAGAAGATAGTTATGAGGAATTTTCCTCACCTAGTAAGATTACTTAGACATCCAATTATCTCAAAGGCAGTTGAGCCAATAACTTGTAATTTAAGCAAAGAAAGTCTTATACAGTTTTATCTTTAGAGTAATTTAATTATCTTAAAAGTGAAACCAAGTTGATGGATTATATTCTAGAGAATAGGAATACTCTACATGTTAAAAAAGTCTTTACTTTCAATATCTAGATAAATAAATATCATGCAACAATAACCACATTGTAAATATAGCATATGGAATCACCACAAGTCAAAGAGTAACAAAGGGACAAAGGAGTTATTATTTTAGGTATCTCTCAGAAGCAAACAAATAAAAATATTAAAAATGAATTTTTATTCCTTCTCTCTTCTTAAAACCATTATGCATACCTTATTTCGAGGGAAATTTCGTAAAACATTAAAATTTTGCAAAGATAGGAATAAACTATCATATTCTAGCTCTATAATGCTTATTTGTTATAATAATAACAGAAAAAAATATTGTGTACTTTCTATGTGCCAGGCACTGTACTAAGCATCTCATATAATCTCATAGCAAGCTTATAATGCAGGTATTTTTGACCCTGTTTTACAGATTAGAAACCCAAGTCTGAAATGGTTTAAAAAAACACACTCACAGTCACAAAGCTGGTAGTTGGCAGGGACAGGATTGAAAACAGGTCTAATTCCAAAGCCTTAGGCCATGTGCTGGCTTCTCATGCCCCAGAGTTATCTTGCCAGGACTAAGCACCACTCACCCCAAAAGAGGGAGTCTTCAGCTCAGGGCATACAAGAAGCCAGTGGCAAAGCCCTCATTCTGTCTCATGCTCTTCTCATTATTGCATTCATCATACCACTGCCAATTAATCAAGAGCCAACCCTAGATGTTTTTCATGATGGGTTAATTACATCTTAGGCTATGTGTAATAATGCCAGAAAGATGAAATGCAATGTCTCAAGCCCACTAGGTTCATATTTAATTTATCAATATTTGTTGTACACGCTAATGAAATACACTATCCTCTCATCTATTTTCTCTTTAATTTTATGGTTTCCAAGAACACATACACTTTGTTCATAGCACATCATATTTCTGAATTCTTAAACAACCAGAATACACTGACTTCAAAGCCCATTAAAAGGTAATAGTACTGTGTGAAGTTCAGTGATCAATGTATTTCACAGCACAAACATGACTCACACACCCTTTTAGACTATACACACTGTATAAGCCCTTTATTTGCATTCAGGTGATGGCAGTCATGTAATCTAATGTCCAGTTTAAAGAGCCGTCTCTACATTTTTATTTTAAACAAACAAAAGGCTCTTTTCAAATGTAATGCCAGTTTTCTAACATTTTATACAAATTTCAGTAACCTGGGCTGCCCTTTCTCCCTACCCCCTTTTTGTCTTTTTGCCAGTTGTTAAATATGTCTGGAAAGGAGGGAAATTCCATGCACTTCATAATATTGAATACAAAATTTTGCCTGAGCCATTCAACAGCAGAAAGATTCTTTCCACTCAAGCTCTACATAAAATATACTAAAATATCAAATTTCAATTTTGGGGACTAGCCTTAACTTAAAAAAAAAAAAAGAAACACCTGTTTACATGGCAGTACCACTTAGCCTATACCCACTTTCACACCCTCCTGTAAATTATGCTGATTTATTCAATGCAACCATATAAAAATGATCTATCATTTACCCTCATAAATATATTTCTTTGATTATTTTACCTGGATATTGCCTTAAATAAGAATTAGATTTATCCCAAAGGTTTCTTTCATTTGCCTGGGCCCTAGACAAATGTTTCCATGTATCAAGCAAATAAAAAATCATATAGTAGTCAGTTTCCCATTATATTAGTTTATATTCACAGTTCCTGGCTTAATTTAAAATTTGATTTCTCTAGTTCTGTTCAAATTAAGAGAAAAAATGTCAATGCAGCAATCTCAATGAATGGTAAAATTATCAGGACAGCACATTTTTTAAAGGCATAGAGAACCACTGATTATACTGGTAAAACAATCATTGACTTAGAAGCGATTCACCTCTATAAATGATTAAGACTATGACAAATTCCATGGAACCTTGAAACAGTAACCATACAGAGTTCTCTGTTTTGGTTTATGGAAGCAATAAATACAAAATGTTAAAATGTTTTAATCAAAATATCTATTCATTATTATTTTCCCCAAACCCTGTAACTCAGAAGAAAAACAGCAATTATCACATAAAAAGAAACTCACAGGAGGTACTCTCTATCTTTTCTTCTAGGAAGTTTATGCTATGTTTGTTTCCCTTTTTATCCATGGCATCTATGTCTAACGCTCTTTTCTGGGAGGTACTAAAATGTGATAAAGCTTGAATCATAAACACAATTTTAAAAATAACAAGAACATAATACAGTAACACTACTACTTTGTCTCTATGAAAGGGCTTAGTTACTTACAAAAATCAACCAATGAGGTTGATACAACTTTCTATCCAGGTTAACAATGTCAGAGATAGAAGGACCTTAGGGACCAAGTGGTCCTATTCTCTCATTTGGCAGATAAGGTAAGAGTAGGGTGATTTTACGAAGACCATCCATTTACCTAGTGACAGAGAAGAAACTTGAAATCAAGGTTACCTAGCTACTGGGCCCATACTATTTGCATTATATTTTCCATTGTAATTTTATTTAGACTTAGAGCAGTGGTTTGCCATAATAACTATATACAAAAAAAATCACTTGAGAAACTTTCAAAATATACATATGCTGGCTCAATCCATAATTCAGCATACCTAGAAACAAGTCCCAAAATTTATATTTTTTTCAAATATCCCCCATCGAGATTTTGATGTGCACTCAGTGTTAAGAATAATTGTGGCTTAGAGCAAGAGTGTAACCTTCTCTGGCACTGTGACAAGTCACTAGCTCCAAAGTAACTTATAATGGATTTTCCAACTCTCATCTGCCTCTTTTGAATTTGTTAAGGAATGTCTGTCATTTCAACTGTAACTATGCAAGCAAGCCCTTTAAACTTTTGTATTACCTTTTTTTACCTTTCCTCTGATCACTTCAAACTCAGATATAGATATGCTACAATTCAGACCTCCAAGCTGCAGGGGTTGGGGGGTGGGGGGATTACTGGATTTCTGACACCTTTAGGGAAGAAGTATCAATACCTTTTTCTGGAGGATATTCAACTATTCAAATCACTGAGAAGACCGACCAGATATAAGAATAGAGAAGATAGATGACAATGAACTCTAGCAGCATCTCTTCCATGACTAGGTACCAAAGTCAAGACAGGAATCCATTATAAATACATTGCCTTCACAGACCAATCATATACAATTGCTGAAAAACAAATTAATTTATATCAAACTACTTAAAATGAGAAGGTTTGGATAATTTTTGTTGAGATAGTAAGTTAGGATTAAAGAGAATTACAGTAAATTTCAGGTTCAAGAGTACAGAATCAAATTGTCCAACTAAGTAGAGTAGCCCCTTCCCTAGGTACTGGAATTGATTCCTAAAACCCTCATTGCAGGGGAATTTGTATTGAAAGAATTTATGAGATTTGGGGAAAAATTGGGTCAGGGAAAGTATTATTAAAGCTCAGACAATTGGTTTGTTCACTGAAATAAAACACCAAGTAAAGTGAATTTTGATGACATTTTACATTAGCAATAGTGATTACTGGGCAATTAATTTCTATTTCACTCTGATCTCAAGGTGAGGACAATCATGCATCAATGAAAATGCTAGTCATCACAGTAGTGAGAGGGAAAGAATTGAGAAAATTGGATTTTGTCTGGAGATAAGTTAGCTCTGTCTTCTCCACTTTCATCCTCTGGTACGTGGATCACCACATCATCAGTTCTGATCAGTTTCTGAATCCCAGAGTTCAAATATCTGCACACAGCCTTTCTGCCTGCTGTTTGGGGAATAGGTTTGAATGACATGGCCCGATCTCTTCTGCCCTGTGGAAGCAAAGGAGAGAGACAAGACTTATTGACCTTTGTTTGAAAGTTTCTTATTACTATTTTACCGGGTTATGAGTAATTATTTAAGCCTTGCCTGGAGATCAGTAAATATTCCACCGAAGAATCTTTCCTCTGAATCATGGAGACATTTCAATTTGTATAGTGGCTACTTCAACATTCTTCCAGTTCTTCATAATAACCTTCACTTACCTCTTTTATCAACTTTCAATGTGATCACATCTCTGAAATTTTTCTCAAATATCTTCCAATGGTAAGACTCTAACAGTTCAGCAACATCACTTAATTCAATGTCATCAAATCCTTCACCACCTAAAGGTTTTGCAGATGCTAAAATATTTTCAATTTCTTCTACCACTGGAAGGCAACTTTCAGAATCAGTTACAACCTCATTCCAAAGTTTCTGCCAAGCTCCCTTGAGGGTTGATCATTTTATTACTCTCACTGATTCTTCTACTATCGTTAAAGTGTTACAAATGCAGAAATTTTGCCAACCTTCTTTCACAGTAAGTTTTGGTGTCTCTCTCATAAGATCTGCAAGGTAATCAAACACACACTGAGTATAGTACATCATAAACATTTTTTGTACCCCCAGATGCATGGGTTGAAGTAGGGTAGTGGTAATGGGGGAGATGGAGATGACTTTATCACAAGGATCAGAATTTACTATTGTACTTTTGTCCGTGGGAGCAGTGTCCAGAATCAGCAACACTTTGTATTTAAAATATATATTTTTTGGTTTAAATATTGTTTAACCTCAGAACAAAACACTTTAAAAACCAGTACAGTAAAACCTCGATATAACAGCCTAATTTGGGCAAGGGGGTGACCTTTAAAGCCAAAAATCTGTTATATAATAAAGTAGGTTTTCTAAATGCATTTGTTTAAAAAATGACGAATTAGTTAGTTTACCTGTTTTTTTTTTACTTATGTAGATACATTTGTGTAATTAAAATTAAGTATGTATGAAAAGTTTAATTTCACAAAAAAGTTTTCTATTTGTATTATTGTAATTTTAAATTTCTACTAAATAGGTCTAGTATATGGGTGCATTCACTAGTCACCATAAGTAAACAAATGCACACAGCTGCGGCCTGGCTTAGCTTACTTCGGAACACCAGTGTCACTCATTAAAAGTGCTACAAATGGGGGCATCTGTAATACTGGCAACAATAAAGATACATTTAAAGAAAAAAAAACTGCTGCAGAAAGTCACACCACTTGACAGTATGTGATGCGGTGTGATCACATCTTAATCATTCACTGAACACTGTTTACCAAAAGTGACTCTTGGATTTAAATGTTTATAATTGTAGATATGTATTATTTATTTATGTTGGTGAAATTACTACAATGTTTTTTTGAACATATAGCCTATTTGCTAAAATTTGTTAAAAATGCCAGTGAATTAATAACAAAAATCCCTGTTAATTTAATTATAAGCAAATCTTGGTTAAAAGCATTTTAAAATTGACGGGGTGTTAATTTTCACATATAACATACGGACAGGAAATTTGTCCGTAAAATCTGAAGTCTGTTAAATCAAGGTGCCCAAAATCAAGGGTTTACTGTACAAAAAGTGTTCCTCATTCCAAATTTTATGGTTCCCCCGTCATGTAGACAGAAAAGTGTTTCTTACATTCTTTTATAAGAGGATACAGGTTTTGAAATCTGTGAAGCAACATGGGTTTAATAGAGTCACCACAAACATTGGAACAAAGCATATCTTTGAGTTTGTCTTTTCCAGTCTTGAAACTGCTGGTCTTTTTCTCATCTTTTGCAACAGATGTGCAAGTAGGCATGTACTTCCAGAACAGGACCATTTCATCAGCTTTGAATACCTGTTCCAGCAAATAGCCATTTTCTTCCATCAGTTTCTCCAGGTATTCAGGATACTCTGTAGAAGCTTCATGATCTCCTTCCTTTGCCAGCCACTTTCTTTATCATACAGACATAGCATTTCTTAAACTTACTCAACCACCCATTACTTGTGATAAATGTTATAATTTTTCATCTATATTGAAATTTAAACTTGCATATTTTGGGGATGCTTGCTGGCAGATTATATACATAGAAAGAGAATTATTTAACCTTCCTATTTTAGAATCCACAAATACAAATCTCTTCACATTTTCTCTATTTTGACATTTCAAGTTATGTGTGATTTTCATAATTATTCCCGTGTGTCCCTCAACTCACTAGCCCTATTAGCTTTCTCATTTTTCTTCGTAGTATGAATTATAGATTCATTAACATAAAAACCCACCCTAGAGGTCTTGGCTCCATTGTTATCAAGCATTTCAACAACTCTCATTTTTTTTGCAATAGACATAACCTTTCTTGCCCTCTTCACTTGTCTTGCATTTATTTCTATCATCTACATTTTTGCTTTTTTGGTTGGATGCTATTCTTACCCAAACATATGCAAATTTACAATTATTAACTGTTTTATATCACTGAGTGGTACATAGCACTAATTTGTAATATATGAGAAGCAAATGACAACATTCACATGACAAATAAAAACAAAACAGCTTTTGCATGACTACACGTGTGTGATTGACAGCTGAAGAGGGAGCAACAGACAGAAGAACAAGGATAGAAGCAACCAACAAAAATGTTGATCTCATCACAAGAGCTAGTCAGCAAGACAACATGATGTTGACTTGAACTTGCATATTGTTCCAAAACTCTAAAAGATGTCAACTAGGTAAACTCAAAATTTTGTATGAGAATGACTTGCAGTTGTGGAGGGATCACAGAATTCAGGAGTCAAGGTCAGGCCACCAGGCTGAGATGAGAAGCACAAATATCACCATCTAGAAGAAAGCAGACACAAACATAGGAAATGAAGGCAGGAACAGAGGCAGTCTGCATAAGTAGATTATAAGTTAGAGAGGCAGCAGAAATTTGGGATAATAATAATATATGCCAAATTGCCTTTACAAAGGCTGAATCAATTTGTATGCTCACTAACAGTGAATGAGAATTCTTTTCTCCCATATTCTCACCAACATGAAATATTATCAACCATTGTAATTTGTGCCAAGCAGAAGGTGAATAACAAGGTATCTCATTTTTGTTTTACTTTTCATTTCTTTAATCATCCTTCCATATGGTAGACCAGTTCCATGTCTTCATCTTAAATTGTGTGTTCATATGCTTTGCCCATTTTAAATTTTTTTCTTACTGATTTATGGGCAATATTAGCATATTAGGGAACTCTTATTTTTAATTCTCTGTTGCAAACATTATGTCAAGCCTGGCATTTACTTTTAAATTTTATTTGTCTTTTGCCATAAAAATGTTCCACATATTTATGTAGTCAAATGTTTCATACCTTGCTTTGAAAAGCTTCCCCCTCCCTAAGAAAATAAAATTATGTTCACATATTTTCTGTCAGCATTTCAACCAAAAACAAGGTGTGTTTTTTATTACTGCTACACCTTGTGAGGATTTGTGTGTACAAACAGGATTGATTGCAGCTTTTGTCATGAAAGGACATTTGGTCTTAAGGGGTTTGCTTTTATACAGCTGTGCAGAGCTTATTTTTCTTCTTCAAAAATCTTAAACACACACATATTCAAGTGGTAAGCTCAAAAAGTATGGACCATCAGAAACATTTAACACTTTAAACTGTAATACCCATAAATGGTGACCAATGATGAGGCTTCCATGAGAAATCTTATTTTTTTTAAATTTATAAACTACCCACAATGTTTTTACTAATATGATAAAGATGTCATTCAACTGACTTTTTAAAAAATATATTTTTATTGATTTCATATAGGAAAGAAGAGGGAGAGAGAGGAAGAGATAGAAACATTAATGATGAGAATCATTGATCGGCTGCCTCCTGCATGCTCTCTACTGGGGATCAAGCCCGAAACCCAGGCATGTTCCCTTGACTGGAATTGAACCTGGGGCCCTTCAGTCCAAAGGCCGATGCTCTATCCACTAAGCCAAACCAGCTAGGGCTCAACTGACTTTTAAGACCAAAAAGCAATAATAGAGCATTTCAAAAGTAAACCTGCATAATGCAAAATTTCAGAAACTTACTCATTCTCCTCAATCATCTCACACTGACAAAAAGTTTATCATGTACAAGGCCATGGGAATAGAAAAATGAATTGATTTAAAAAAATGTTTTATCTCAATGAACTTAGTCTTCTAGGAAAAATAAATATAACACGGTATAAGGTAGAAAGCCACATTCTATAGAGTTGAAAACAGGCCCTTCTTATCCCTTATCTGAGGAATGGTATAACTTCCTAAGTCATCTGCCTGCCATTCAAGCCTATCCACCATACTGCGTCCTGAGCAACCTTTCTAAAATAGGGGTCTAATCCAGTACTTCCTCCACTTTAAATGACTCCCTTGAATGGCTTACTGAATAAAGTCCAATCTCGGTCTGTATGATGGTGCCTGCCTACTTTCCCATTCTCATCTTTTAATACCTCTTCCCTTGTTATCTACATGTCAGTTAAGGGGCTATATCAATCATCCAGATTTCTTTAATCGTCAACACTAGTTCAAGCACCACCTCTTCCAGGAAGCTTTCTCTGCTCCTCCACATAGCTCTGAGGCAGTTACAGGAAATCTCAGAGGCTCTTTCCCATGCTTAGTATGATTATAGCATTTTGACATTTCACTGTAGTTACATCTGTTTCCCTGTATCTTAATCATTTCTGAATCCTTGACAGTATCTGGAACAGAATAGATCATCTATTTATATAAAAGCCTAAGTGACCATTATGACAGAATGACCAGAACGACTGGTTGCTATGATGTGCACTGACCACCAGGGGACAGATGCTCAATGCAGGAGGAGGGGGAGAGAGGAGCAGCGAGGCCTGGAGGCACACACTATGGCCCAGGGATCCCAAGAACCGCAAGCCCAGAATCTGCTTTCCAATAAAAATAAATTGGGGGAAAAAAGAGGGACGGGGGGTTGGACGCTGCCAGCCTGGGAAGAACAGCTCCAGGAGGGAAAGGCCTCCCTAGGCCCCACCTGCAAGCCGACTCACCGGTGATGTACAGGAAGCACAGCCCCTCTGACTCCAAAGCCGGTGGCACTGACAGCTGCTCCCCATCCTGCTCCATGGTGGATGCAGAGCTGCCTGGCATACTGTGTCAGCTCCAGCTTCTGGCTTCCTGACCTCCCTTTCATATACTGTGTGTACTTGGGAGTGTTGCTTCGGCCTCCCAGGCCAATAGTGCCGCAGCACAGCCAGAGAGTGGCAGGACACAGCCACCAGGGCTGGCTGGGCATTGATGTGGCTGTGTGACTGACGTCCACGTGCAGTTACACTGCGTGTTTACATTTGTAGGGAAGCAGGGCAGCCTGCTCCTGCCACCCACATCACCTTGTAGGGTAAGAAAGGCCCACTGATCTCTGTGTTTCTCCTCCCATCCAGAATCAAAACCTCTTGGGAATGAATGATCCCAGCAATGGCCCCAACACACACTCGGTGTCACTGTCACAGACATTCCCAGTCATTATAGCCCATTCCTCAAATCGCAGTGCCCTGCTCTACCCACTGCCACCCCTTACCTGTCACCCCCGGAGGACCACCTTCTGTTATCCTATTTGAAATGTGGGCAAGATCTCAAATGCCCCCCTGTCCTTTTTTTCCAATAGCTCCCTTGCCCTATCTTTTTCTTCCTCTAAAAACCTTGCATTTTAATAATATGTATTTGATTGATTTTAGAGAGGGAAACAGAGATAGAAACATCAATGATAATAGAGAATCATTGATCGGCTGCCTCCTATACCTTCCAAAGTGGGGATCGAAACCTCCCACGGCTCCTCCCCCAGCCAGCAAACCTCTTATGGTCAGGTCCCTCCTCCAGCTGGCAGGCCCCAGTGGTAGTGTGGCAGTGATGGAAGGAGGAGGGGGAAGGTGGGGAACCGCAGGGTGGCAGGGCGTCAATGGTAGCGACGGTGTCTGGCATACATTCCTTCCATGCCCGGCCCAGTGACCGTCACCTCCTCTCTAGACCTTAGGCCCGATCTGCCCAGCCCCAATAAGCCCTGATTGCCCACCAGGCCTAGGGATCACACCCATGCATGAATTTCATGCACTGGGCCTCTAGCTTTATTACATAAATGCTTACAGTGGACAGAGTAAGTATGGCATGCAACACTCACAAAAGGGTTATCATTTAAAATGAACCTTGAAGAATGGGTAGGATTTTCAGTGCGTGGAGAAGGGGGCAAGTGAGTGGGAGGTGAGAATTTGGTTACATGAGGCTAAAACACGGTGGGGGGGGAGGTGTGTGTGTGTCCAAAGTGGATAGTAAAAAACAAAAATTGGAAAAGTAAGCTGAGGCAAATCATAGAGGGCCTGAGACACCTGTTTTATTTGGTGAGATGAAGTTCTGTTAAATTTCTCCATATTAATGAAAGGGTTTATGTTTGCAATTAATAAAAAAGCAGGGGTTTATGATAAATCAGTTCTATTCGTGTTACTATGTCTCAACACAAACATTTCTAAGGGGAAAAGTCCTATTTGTGTACTAAGTAATTTAGGAATATCATATTGATATTTATTATCACATTGTTCTTTTGTTCTTGCAATTTAATTTTTGATAACAAAGACAGTCATGAAACATCTCCCCTTTCCTTCTATGGTTTGATGGGTCACTAATCAAATAGACATCCACAAATTCTTAATAATAATCTATTTTTTCACATTAAAATTTCATAGAAAATTGTGCATATTTCTTACTGGATCCAAGTCTTTTTTACAGCTTTGAAAATTCTCCCCCCAAAGTCTAAGTGGAGTCTATGCTGCAACAGTGCCCTCTGCTGGCTCTAGCATGGAACAGCTAAACTCTAAACAGGGAAGGAATGCAAAAGGCAAGGTCATCTAAGGTGCATCTCTCCTGACAGGCCTGCAATGTCTTCCCCTTTCCTGTTAAGCAGAATGTTGACTTGATGAGCTCCTCAAAAGAATCAAACTCATCTTAGCAGGCAAGGAATAGGGCAAATGTTTTGACAACTTCCAATTTTCCCCTCATCTTTTGGGGAGCTGGCTACACCCAAAACTTCCAAAGATTTTAAGAAAAGGCACATTAATTTGAACAATAGTTTCCTGATCTCCTCTATTCGCTCTTTATCTTTTCTCATTTTTACTCGCCTGTGTAAGAATAAATGAAGTGTTTAGTTACGGAATGCTTTAAAGAATAACAGAAATCATGGACCTAGTGACCTAGTGGCTGGCCAAGTCCCAACCTGAAATACAAACAGGCCATCCCCTAAGCCAGGGGCTAGATGTCATTTAACCCTCTCTCTTAACCTTAAGGGTAGCAAACAACACGAAATCAGCTTACAATGACTCCTTATGATGACAACTGAAAGCAGCTTTTAGCTAGCAGGAAGCACAGTGGCCTTCTGCTGGGAAGTAAATGAAGTATGATGGGGGAGATGCACTGTAAATTGTGGAGTATGATCCTCATCAAAGGTGCTAGTATCATTGTAGATTCAGGCTAGATTGCAATACCAAGAAATGCTCATGGCAGGCTACAGAAGAATGAGGAGCCCCCAAGTGCACAGCCACCCTTCTTTCTGCAAAGACCATTTTAAAGGCCCTTCCTGCCACTGTGGTTCCTTTATTCAACCCAATTCTGAATAAGCTGTAATTAAGGGACTACAGCTTTCTCCTGTGCCTTATTTATATGGGGTTTTGGTGGTTCCAATGCAGAGCTTTACAATCTGGGGCCTTGGATGAGTGCTCATCTTTGGTCACTTCCAAAGTCCAAAGTCCCAATGGCCTCCGTGAGCAAAGCACTGGGCTATGCCCCTTAAGTCACAGGT